TGGATTTAATCTACGTTAGTTAAATTAAATTTGCCTAGGTACATTACTTGCTGTATTTATCTAGGTACTTACTAACTACTAGAGTACGATAGAAGTTAATAAACCGACACTGCAAATCAATTTTTGGAAGTGCGTGATTTTAAAACACAAAATGCGCGTATACGACTTCACTCATTCGAAATTCAAATATTTTTTATTCAAGTAGGCATTAAAAATACACTTTTGAATAGTCATGTAACCACTGTTTTCCCCAATTTTTTTCTTTTCTATGTTCAGGGGTGCTGATTCAACTGAGAAGAACCATAAAAGAAAGTAAGAAACTCAATAGTTGCTCTTTTCAAAATATTTTTACAATAGTACTATAATTATTTAAAGCCATAAGTCAAAGATAAAATGTCAAATGTATGGTGTCGAGTAGCAGAAATAGGAGAGTCAAGATCCTTCTAGAAATTTCGAGACCGATATGTACTCGAACATTCTAGATGTCGCTACAATAGAAGGTTCTGGAAACTATCTGAGGCCCTATATAAGGCCGGTATAGACAAAGGCCGAGTCAGTATTGAATTGGCGATACAAGCGAATACTTCGAAGAGATATAACTGCGAACTAAAGTGATTGTGTTTTATTATTAGTGTGTTTTAAGGTGTAATTATTATCCGTAATTAAAGTGTCAATTTTGGTAATTCAATCGGCAGTTTTTAATTGTCTCGAACCTCAAGCTCGTAATAATTGGTGTCAGAAGTGGGATCAAATCATGCCGATTTTACCAAAGGACGACATGGAGGGTACGCGTACCCGAAGTCAACGCCAGCTGGAGGTGGACCAGAGACGATTTGGTAATGCAACGCCGCAAACGTCAGAGGGCCAGAAGCTGACCACGGAGGCCGGTCCGTCAGCAGCTCCTGCATCTGCAGCACCTGACTTAGGTGCTCTGATGATGATGTTGCAGGATCAGGCTCGCCGACACGAGGAACAGGCCCGCAGAGAGGAGGACCAGGCCCGTCGGTTGGAAGAGCAGCTGCAGCGCGGACAGGAGGAACAGGCCCGTCGGTTGGAAGAGCAGCTGCAGCGCGGACAGGAGGAACAGGCCTGCCAACAGGAGGAACAGGGTCGTCGGTTGGAAGAGCATCTTCTTCTAATGAAGGACCTTCAAGCTACCTTCGGGAAAGAGATAAAGGAGGTGAAGGATAGGGTTGCTCAACATGACAACCGCCTGTCGGAAGCTGAAACCCGAATCGACCAAGTGAACAATCGGGTTGACAACGTGATGGTTGACGTGAAGAAAACGCTGAACGACCTCAAAATTGGGGACGGAGTTACAGCTCCCGTGGTAACTACAACACCTTCGCTACGTGGATTCAAAGTGCCACCGTTCGACGGGACTTCTTCCTGGTCGGCCTACAAAATCCAGTTCGAGGCTGTCATGAAAGCGAACGGCTGGAATAAAAGTCAGGCCATGACTGCTCTCACCCTAGGCCTACGCGACCAGGCCTTAACTGTTCTGGAAGCTCTCGGTAAGGAAGTGACTTACGAGCAGCTCCTTGAGGCGTTGGAGGCGAGATATGGTGACGCTCACCTGGAACACGTCTTTCGTGCTCAGCTCAAAGATCGCGTGCAACGCAGCAACGAAAATCTGCAGCAGTTGGCCCTTGAGGTGGAGAAGCTGGTTCGGAAAGCATACCAGTCTGTACCTGCGCTCATTTTAGGGAACCTGGTGCAGACATTCATCGACGGCATCCGCGACCTTGAAGTTAGAGCTACTGTGAGGCTCGGGCTTTACGAGACATTTAAGGACGCGTTGGCCCATGCACTGGAGTTGGAAGCCGTGCGACAGGATCATCTTTCCTATCGCGTCAGGGAGGTTGCAGCAGCTACAGTTCGTGACCGCAGTAAAGGATACAGGCCTAGGTGCTACGGCTGTGGAGAGATGGGCCATCTTCGATTCAGCTGCCCTAAGCGAACTGTAGAAAGAAAAGGTGATCGATCTCGAGAGGGTAGTGCGGCTAACAGCACCGCCCAGCGCAGCGGAAAATCTCATGACAACGCAGATGCATTGTCAAGAAGACCGTGTCCTGAAGATTGCAAGCATTGTACTAGGCAAGAGGGTAAGGAAGTGGTATCTGTGAGGATACTCAGGACAGACCAGCTCAGCAATGAGTAGAAGGACAGCCTACAACATGCACAGCAGGAAGATTCGGACATTAAGCCGATTCTGGAATGGATGAAGGCCAGTGCTCCTAAGCCCAAGTGGAGCGACGTCTCAGTGATGAGTTCGACCACGAAAAGCTATTGGGCCCAATGGGACAGCTTGCTGGTTCAAGATGGAGTCCTGTGCCGTAAATGGGAAAATGGTCGGGGAGATACTTGTCATTTGCAAATGGTTGTCCCTAAGGCTAAAGTGCCGGATGTTCTACAGCTGTACCATAGTGGTTGTTCAGGAGGCCACCTGGGAGTTAAACGAACTCTACTGAAGATCCGAGAACGGTTTTACTGGGTCCACTGTCGTGACGATGTCGAGGACTGGTGCCGCAAATGTACAAGTTGGGCGGCTAAAAAGGGACCTCAAACTCGTAGTAGAGGCGCATTGAAATTGTACAATGTTGGTGCACCATGGGAGAGGATAGCCATTGATGTATCGGGGCCGTTTCCGGAAAGTGAAAGTGGTAACAAGTATTTCATGATTGTGATGGATTACTTCACTGAGTGGCCAGAAGTCTTCGCTATTCCAAATCAAGAAGCTTCAACAGTTGCAGATAAACTAGTTCATGAAGTCTTCTGTCCTTCTGGAGTACCTTTAGAGATTCACAGCGATCAAGGAAGGAATTTTGAGTCTCAAATATTCCAGGAAACTTGCCGAGTTATGGGTACTCATAAAACAAGAACAACTTCTTACCACCCACAATCTGATGAAATGGTAGAACGATTTAATCAGACATTGGAGAGGTACCTAGCAAAATTTGTGGAAAAACGACAACGAGACTGGGACAGGCAAATACAACCGATTTTGTTGTCATATCGAAGCGCTGTTCACGAAAGTACATCAGTGATACCAGCTTTCGCAAACTTTGGGAGATAATTACGGCTGCCTGCAGACCTGATCACCGAAATACCACATGATGCCCCACGCAGTATAACCGATTATACAAATGACTTGCGGAACAAAATGAATGACATTTATGAGCACGTCAGACAGACGGGCCAGCAAACGTGTGAGAAGATGAAAACACGGTATGACCGCAAAATTAACAATAAAGGGTTTGACGAAGGTTCACTAGTGTGGTTACACAATCCAGTTCGCAGCAAAGGGAAATCTCCTAAGCTTCAAGCTAAATGGGACGGACCGTACCGGATTGTGACAAGGATCAATGACGTAACCTACCGGATACAGAAAAGTGCCAGAGGTACTCCTAAGATCGTCCATGTGGATCGAATGGCACGTTATTATGGGGCCAATAATGCTCGGGACGAGCATGTCTTAGGAGGGGGCAGTGTTGCGCGCCACTATTAATGTCTTGTACATGGTAACACTAGTCACCACTAGCGCCCTCTGGTGACGAGTAACAGAACTAGGAGAGTCAAGATCCTTCTAGAAATTTCGGGACCGATATGTACTCGAACATTTTAGATGTCGCTACAATAGAAGGTTCTGGAAACTATCTGAGGCCCTATATAAGGCCGGTATAGACAAAGGCCGAGTCAGTATTGAATTGGCGATACAAGCGAATACTTCGAAGAGAAATAACTGCGAACTAAAGTGATTGTGTTTTATTATTAGTGTGTTTTAAGGTGTAATTAGTATCCGTAATTAAAGTGTCAATTTTGGTAATTCAATCGGCAGTTTTTAATTGTCTCGAACCTCAAGCTCGTAAAAATATGCTTTTTTTGGCTAAACAAGCTTTTAATGTGCGAATTAAATCGAAAAGGTGAAAGATCTAACATTTCTTTTGGAATCTTGTTATAAAAGCGTAAACCGCTACCCAAGAACGAATTGTATACTATGTGTAAACGGAAAACAGGTAATGTGATTTTATTTTTATATCTACTATTAAAATTCTGCAAATTACTATTCTTTATATGTAAGTGAATGTTTTGTCGTACATACATGATATTTGCAAAAATGTATTGTGACGCAACAGTCAAGATATCAATTTCTTTAAACAGTTCTCTCAGAGATACTCGGGCTCCTAAGCAGTACATAGATCTTATTGCACGCATTTTATTTTATATGCACGCTTTTTATATTATTCGATTAGCATTGTAGAATTTTTTACAAGTGTGTTAAAAGTGTCTGCAATATTTATCAAATGGGTGCCGACATATTCGAGCACTTTGTGTTTTAAAACACACACTTCAAAAATTGAGATTTGCAGTGAACTTATTGAACATGTTTATCTATCAGGTAAGAATATATATATATATATGTGGGAGAAAGTTTATTTTTAATCTGTGTTTATGTATTTTTTGAAGTCATGTCATGACAGGCGGAGAGAGTCTGTGGTTAGGAGAAAAAACATTGTAAAAGAGCTAAGCAGTTTTATTAAAGATTTTGTGTTTTCTTCGACGATCCCACAACTATTTTGGGGGCTCGTCCGGGATCCAGACAAGTATCAGTGTGGAAGAATTAACAACATTTACGAAGAAATCATCAGCAAAATACCGGCGAGTTATTGTGAGAAGTGAACTGTTTTACCAACGCTAACCAAGATGGCGCGCGGGAAGTTTTGAAAACGAGTTGCATCGAATGCTTCGGGACGTTGCTACCATCGCACTACATTACCGACTACGCGTGAGCGTAATGCTGCGGGACGTTGTTCGTGACGTCAATATATTTTTTATTTTTTACGAAATGTAAAGAAGATAAAGATGAGTTTCACGACTGGATTTACGATTTACGGATTTTACGATTGAAGATTATTGTTACAAAAATAATGATTTAAAGAAGATTTTACGACTATTGAAGACTTGTGAAGATTTTTATATTTGAAGAATAACATTTCAAGATGCCGCCGAAAAAAGATATTAAAGATGGAGAAGAACGAGAATCACGTGACACCACATCCTATATCTCGTTTGCAGATGTGGAGAAGTCGATGACGTCATTTAGTGGTGATGATTCTTACCCGATTTCAACATGGTTTGAAGAATTTGATGACACGGCACTGTTGATGAGCTGGACTGAAGTAGAAAAACTGATTTACGCGAAAAGACTCCTAAGTGGAACTGCAAAACTATTTCTACGATCGCTCGGAGGTGTAAAAGATTATCAAAAATTAAAACAAGAACTCGAAGATGAATTTGGATCTAAATTGAATAGTGCCGCCATACATAAAAAACTAAGCTCAAGAAAAATGAAGAAAGATGAAACTTACCAGCAGTATTTTCTCCATATGAAAGAATGTGCATTACATGGAAACATCGAAGATGCAGCACTTATGGAGTACGTTATTGATGGTATCCAAGACAGCGAATCTAATAAATCTATTTTGTACGGAGCGTCAAACCTTAAAGAATTTAGAAAGAAATTAGATATTTACAAAAGTATTAAAGAAAAGACCCAGACTCGACCCAGTGTATCTACTCCATTTGCAAAGAATAATAAAATAAAGCGATGTTTTAATTGCGGGGACCTAGATCATCAAGCCCCGACCTGCACGAAGGGTATTAAGTGCTTCCGATGCAATGAATTTGGACATAAGGGAACTCAGTGTAATAACAAAGGTAAAAAGACTTTAAATATTCAAAAGACTGACACGAAAATTAAGACTGATAAAGAAGACAAAGAATTAGAAACTCCATATAAGAAGATAAAGATAAATGATGTCGAAATTACAGCATTAATTGACACTGGGAGTGACGTGAATTTGATAAAGTTATCTGAAGTTGAAAAATTTATGACAGAAAAAGTTATCTATGACAAAGAAAAATCAATACACCTAACTGGAATTGCTGGAAAAGAACTAAATACTAAAGGACTTCTGAAAGTTAAGGTTTTGATTGATGATTATTATGCTGACTTGGAATTTCACGTAGTACAAGATTATGCTATATCAGTCAGTGTCATACTTGGAAATCCTATCCTCAAAGATTTTGAAATCAATTTTACTCGTGATGGTATTTTCCTTGAAAAGATTTCTTACCTTACACTACTGGCAAAAGAGAAGAACACTATTTTTGATGAACATTACCCTGAAAATAAAGAAATTGCAGATAAGGTTACAAAACTAATTAAAGAATATAAAACTAATGCTAAAAAGAAGGAAAGTAACGTTGAGATGAAGATAATACTTACCGAAGAAGACCCGATATATCAAAGTCCACGTCGATTGTCACCACTGGAAATGAAAGTTGTTGATGAACAAATAAAAGAATGGCTAGAACAAAAGATTATACGACCCAGCAAATCAGATTTTGCAAGCCCTGTAGTTCTAGCTAAAAAGAAAGATGGAACATACAGACTTTGTATAGATTATAGAAAGTTGAATAAAAGAATAGTGAAAGACCGATTCCCATTACCTCTTATAGAAGATCAGATTGACAGATTGAAGGGTGCAAAAGTTTTCACGACTTTAGATTTGAAGAACGGATTTATGCATGTGAATGTGCATGAAGAAAGCAGGAAGTTTACGGCCTTTGTAACTCCGCAAGGGCAGTATGAATTCATGAAAATGCCGTTCGGTCTTTGCACGGCGCCGTCAGTATTCCAAAGGTATGTCAACCATGTCTTTCAAGATCTTATTTCTGACGGTACTGTCCTCGCCTACTTGGATGATTTGATTTTACCCTCGGAGACAGAAGAAGAAGGATTGGAGAAGCTGGTAAAAGTGTTCCAAAGAGCTGAAGAGTACGGTCTTTTATTTAACTGGAAGAAATGCCACTTCATGAAGAGGGAGATAGAATATTTAGGCTATATAATACGGAATAATGAATTACGCCCGTCAAAAGAAAAGATTTCAGCCGTATCAAGATTTAAAACCCCTCATAACATCAAGTCTTTACAGTCTTTGTTAGGACTGTCTGGTTATTTTAGAAAGTTCATCAAAAATTATTCTATAATTGCATAACCACTTACCAATTTATTGAAGAAAGACGTTGAATTCAATTTTGATGAAGAGTGTGAAATGGCTTTCAATGAATTGAAAAGAATATTGTGTAGTTCACCTGTGTTACGGATTTACGACCCAGACCTAACAACAGAACTACACACAGATGCTAGCGCAGAAGGTTATGGCGCCGTTCTGTTACAGAAAAGTCCTACAGATAATCAAATGCATCCAGTCTACTACATGAGCAAAAAAACGACACCCGCTGAAAGAAAGTATCACAGCTATTACTTGGAAATACTGGCGATTGTTGAAGCTGTCAAGAAATTCCGTGTCTATCTACTAGGAATTCGTTTTAAAATCGTAACAGATTGCTCTGCTCTTACTAAAACATTACAGAAGAAAGACTTACCTCCACGTGTTGCTCGATGGGCTCTGCTCCTAGAAGAGTATAATTATGAGATAGAACACAGGTCAGGATCAAGACTTAAACATGCTGACACACTAAGCCGAAACCCTGTCTGCTTGATACTTACCGAAGCTGCTGCCCGTTTGAAGAGAGCTCAAGACGACGACCCTCATATCAGTCTGTTAAAGAAAATGTTAGAAAAAGAACCCTATCAAGACTATATTATGGAAAGAGGAATATTATGCAAAGAGAAAGATGGTACGAGACTGATTGTAGTTCCAAAGAAAATGCAGAACGAAATAATAAGGAAGAAGCATGATTATGGACATTTTGGAGTTAGAAAAACAGAAGAGCTTGTGAGTCGAGAGTATTATGTTGAGAATCTGAAGGAGAAGATTAGAAAAGTTATAGATAATTGTGTAGAATGTATTCTGATTGAACAGAAAAAGGGAAAGAAAGAAGGATTCTTACATCCACTAGACAAAGGTGATGTCCCGTTGTCGACGTATCATATTGATCATCTTGGTCCATTGACGTCTACTAATAAAAATTATAAGTACATTTTTACGGTAGTTGATGGCTTTACCAAATTTACTTGGATATATCCCACAAAATCTTTGTCCACAGATGAAACGTTGGACAAACTGAGAGTGCAACAACAAACCTTTGGTTCCCCTCAAAGGATTATTTCCGATCGTAACGCCGCATTTACTTCAAAAGACTTTCAAGACTATTGTGAACAAGAAGGCATAAGTCATTATACAATTACTACAGGACAACCCCGCGGAAACGGGCAAGTAGAAAGAATCCACCAAATCATAATAAGTGTTATAAGTAAATTCAGCGCTGATGATCCGACGAAGTGGTATAAACAAGTTTCCAAAGTGCAACGCTGTCTGAATAGTACATGGCAAAGAAGTATTGGAATGACTCCATTCGAGTTACTTTTTGGAACCAAAATGAAAGATGAGAATGAAAAAATTATGAAATTAATAGAAGAAGAAGAAGTTAAGAACTATAATAAGCAAAGGAATGAACTAAGATTAAAGGCAAAAGAGTCAATACAAAAGATGCAAGAAGAGAATGTTAAAAATTATAATAGAAAAAGAAAAAAGGCTACCGAATACAGAGTTGATGATTTAGTTGCTATTAAACGAACATAATTTACTCAAGGAAGTAAATTGTATCCTAAGTATCTAGGACCTTACGCAGTGACAGCCAAAAAGCATCATGAAAGGTACGCTGTAAGAAAAGTTGGTGAATGCGAAGGGCCCATCAACACAACAACCTCGGCTGATCTCATGAAGCCATGGGTCGATGAAGACGTAGATGAATATTCATCTGAGTCAGATGAATGATCAGGACGGCCGTGTGGGAGAAAGTTTATTTTTAATCTGTGTTTATGTATTTTTTGAAGTCATGTCATGACAGGCGGAGAGAGTCTGTGGTTAGGAGAAAAAACATTGTAAAAGAGCTAAGCAGTTTTATTAAAGATTTTGTGTTTAATTCGACCATTCTTTTCTTCGACGATCCCACATATATATATATATATATATATATATATATATATATATATATATATATATATATATATATATATATATATATATATATATATATAGTTATATATAGATAGATATTAGATACCCCATAATAATAATAATAAAAAGGCGTAGGGAAGTGACGACCCCATCGCCCGCTGACGTAACAGTTAAGTGACAAAACTTCTATGTCAGCGCAGTCAGTCAGCGCCTTGCCAAGAGGTGTGGCGCCGTGCCTCGGCAGTATTGAGGGTGCAAAGGCCTGTTTGTGCTTACGGCCACACTATTAAACGCCACCGGGTCTGGGCGTCAATTAACGGGAGACGCCCAGACCCGAATCAATGGATGATGGATAAAAATAGAACGCGCATAGGGCCCCTGCCTGGGGGTCGCCGGGGCGTGCCTGGAGCTGGCGCTGGACGCGACAGCATGCGAGCCGCCAGCCGAGCGCGAGGTGCTGCACGACCACCTAGCAGCCCCTCGCGTCCATCATCCCCACCAGACGGCTTGGTGTCGGCGGGGTCCTCTCGGACTCGGCAAGCGGCACCCGCCGCTGGTGGAGTACGCCACATGCGTTGGACAAAAAATATGAACATAAACGCATTGCGGGCGTACTATAGGGCGAAAGGGGAAGAAACTGGAGGGATAGCGTATCGCGCTCGGATGCATCGCTTTTTTGCTGAGCTTGAGCCGTCAGTTCCCGTCACAGAGCAAAACCTGGCAGACCGAGTTCGGTACATCATACGCTCGAAAATATTTGATGATGCCGAACTCGAACGACTACGGCGTGAGGCTATTCCCTCATCGAATGAACCGGCTATAGCTGGGGATGCGGCCTCTCAGGCCACAGACAGGCAGCCACATATAGAGGGCGCCTTGGATCTCCCCGCTCTGGTTGATTCAGGCGATGATGGAATAGTCACCCAAGAACTAGAGCAGATGAGGAGTAAATTGGAGGAGGCGATTGTGGAAACGCGCAGTACGCCTCTCGAAAATCGACCGCGACTCCCGCGCATACCCCTTAGCAAGCGGAATCGGGCTGTCGTGACGGCCCTGAACCCATTGCTGGGGACCTGCTTGTAAGCTTTACATTGGTCTTTACGATACGGACTCAATACTTTTTGGCGACACTTTCGCAGTTGGCCGCATTATTGGTGCCGAATTTCGCACGTCTTACGTGGTAGAGCCATGCTGCAGCTATAGTAGTATAGTTGTAGCACGAATGGGTCGGCTCAAGCGGGGAAGGATCACGCTCTCACAGAATACCAGCGTCAACGTAACAGCGGCCTTATGCGCGGTCTATGTTTTTCCATCATCCATAAAATTGGTGTCAATTAACGGGAGACGCCCAGGCCCGGCACCGTTTCATGGTTTGGCCGTAAACACAAACGGGCCCAAATTAGCACCCTCAATTCTGCCGAGGCAAGGCGCTGACTGACTGCGCCGACGTAGCAGTTTTGTCACAACTGTTACGTCAGCGGGCGATGGGCTTGTCATATATTTTATTATATATGTGTCATATATTATATTTTATTTAATTTTTATTATTACATTATTATTGTTATATCTTTAGAGATTGTTCTAGAAGCCTATGTTTTATAAGTCACGACAAACCAAATATGAATTAGTGACTGTGTGGAGTCGAGAAACTGTACAGATATGATTAAGAAAAACCTTTAAAGCTTTAAAGCATCTTTAACGAAGTTATATAGAAGTTACAGTCTGTATACGTCCCAGTGCTGGGCACAAACCTCCTCTCATTTCTGAGAGGGTGTTAGGACAAGGAAGTGTCCACCGCGCTGCTCCAATGCGTCTTCGAAATATTTTTTTCCTTATTTCTCATCATACAGGTTTCTTCATGATATTTTTCTTTACTGCAAAGCTGGTAAATCAGCACTTAAAATTACAATTAAAAATTTATTTGGTGCCGGCGGGGATTCGAACCCGGGTTGCTCGCGTACTGTGAAATTTACACCGAACGTTTAGCCTGAGCTACCACGGTTTTAGAAAGTTATAAAACAAAGTATTAATTACTAGCTGTTCCCCGCGACTTCGTACGAAACTTTATTTTTTTTTCTAAAATAAAAGCAGCCTAACTTACGTCAGCTATCTCCTTATAACATCAGCTATCTGCAATTGGAAGTCGCGTCAAAATCAGTCCAACCATTTCGGTGATAAGCCGAAACAAATAGACAGACAGACAAACAAAAATTTTAGAAACTGTGTTTTTGACATTACAAACAGACACTTCATATTTATTTATTTGTATAGATGACCATTAATTTCTTTTCAGAGACGATCGAGAAAATCTTAAATGATCTTCAAGACTGTAAGTATATTTAACTAAGCTTGTATATTTGATATTTACTCGTACTTTTGACCCGACTTAGAAAAAGGAGAAGGAGGTTCTTAATTATTTTTAGGGTTCCGTACTCAAATGGTCACCAAAAAGCCTCCGCTATAAAACAAATAATAAAAATTAATATAAATTAAAAATTAAAAGGGACTCTCCGACTAGAAACGTGTATTACGATGATACGGAACCCTTCATGCGCGAGTTCGACTCGTACAGCCTTCGTTGCTTGAAGTAGGCTGCAGGTGTCCTAGGTCTGCAGTAGGTACCCATCAGGTAAACTGTAAGTTCGTATGTCACTTCGACTTTTTTTTATATTCAACTAAGCCAGCTGGTTGTGCAGCTGTACATATCATCGTTGGAGCCACACGCAAGTGTGAGTAACGATCCAAGAGCGAGTCTTATCCGACATTATTCCGATGATATCCCGGACGTCAGTCTGAGCGAGATTAGAATGGCTCTCCCGCACCTTAAAAACGGCAAGGCCCCAGGCGAGGATGGAATTACAGCGGAGCTTCTGAAAGCGGGTGGAAAACCGGTTCTTGAAGTCCTTCAGAAGTTCTTTAATTCCGTCCTCCATAGTGGCACTACTCCGGAGGCGTGGAGCAGAAGTGCGGCGGTCTTGTTCTTCAAGAAAGATGAAAACGCGCTCTTGAAGAACTACAGACCGATTTCCCTTCTAAGCCGCGTCTACGTGCTGTTTTCGAGAGTCACTACG